TTTTGTTATCTAAAATGTGTTCACCTGATTTAGACTCAGCACTCTCAACACGGTTAAGACGTTACTGTTCTTTATTTCTGCCATTTTGATCATTTTTCCGGTAAATCATAAATTATAATATTATAATATTATAGTTTTAATATATTTGAAAAAAAATTAAATACAAAATTAAGGTAACGCGGCGCATTGTATAGGCAATTCAGGTACAACAGAGTTCATTGTTGTTTGTGCACCTCACATACTTGCAACGACTTGACTTCCGATAAACACTTCTTTATTAATGTGTAATAATATTAAACACTATACGTGGTTCAGTGGGTATGTAAAATTCTAGGAATCCGTTTTAGTAATAGCTAAAACCGCGAAATTAATGCATAAGCAGATCAAACGGAGTCGTGTCGTCGGTTTAAAATGGAAAAAAAGTCTTCATTTTGTTTACAGGCATCTATAGTAGCCAGTATAAAATGTAGACCGTGTAATTGGATACAGTAAATAATATATAGTAGACATCTCTTTCGAATTGACAAATGTATAGGTCTTGATCTGCAGACAGCGAGGTGGGGTAGATTTCGGCTTATCCACTACAGATGAGCGACCAATTATCGCAGTGTGGCTAAGTTGGTGAGAGCTAAGAAGTTGTTGTTAGCTGCAAAATCATTACATAGTCATTGAAGATCGATAAAATAATATTTTTTTGTTTGTCCATTCCATTTATTCGAACATAACCATGGCATACATGTGACTTCATACTTACTATTTAATTTTTCTAAATATGTTGTCGTGCACAATTTATTAGTATATTTTTAGTTCTAAAACCTAAATACCAACAAGGTCAGATTTGGCTGGCGCGTCTATGAATTTTAACATTATTTCCTTGTTCCCGATCAAAGTGAATTACCACGCAGAACGGAAAATTGAAACACTCTTTTTGCTTCCAGTGGTAACGTCATCTACGCCTAAAAAAAGACCGGTTTTAACCACTGAATTAAATCGTCGGTCAACACTCCATCGCGATAGTACCTATAAGTAACAACGAATTAAGAACGATATTGCAAAAATTATTTGCCGTAAATCATTAGTTTTTAATTGAAAATGACATTGAAGTCTGAATTTGGTGATCAGACTTATTTGAAAGTTATAGCCAATTGAAATTTTGGGTATTTTTATATATACCCGGCTGCGCTCCCTCAGACAATTATAATCAAAAACATCCATCGACTTGTTATGTAAAACCACCATGGGTGGGTGTCAGAATTATTTTTGCTCCATCATTCTAAAACGTTGATTTAACTAGGTTTCCGAAAATAAAAATTGAAAAATTTGCGTGGGCGCTACACTAAATGGATTATAACTCATAATTTAAAAAATATTTTAGGGGTTTTAAGAAATTGTCTTCAAATTATCACTTTTAATTATTTTATATAGTGATATTATTGGTAGGGTAAGTTTCTATTTTATAATAGATCAATAGAAAATATGTTACCTAAATCACATTTTTTTATTTAAATACTTATTACTTAACCATCGTACCTTGAAATTAATTCCTATTTCATCTAGCATTAAATACACCTTAGTAAGATTGATATATAAAATGCATGAACTTACAAGCCCTGCATATAAGTTATGAATTTTAACTAAGATTCTAAACATCGACAAAAATATAGATGCATTAATAATTTATAAGCTACTAGCTGATCCCGTGCACTTCGTTGCCCCGTTAAATGTATCAATTCTATATGTCTCAAAGTTTGTTCAATTCGTTATTTAATATTCGGTGTATGCGGTGTTCAAAATTAATCTTAACTTTTCCGTTGCCCCGAATAAAAATTCTGATTCGCAACAGTAATCTACCTGCGATAGATCGCGGACCCTGTGCTGTTTGTACGTAAGTGTATGATTTAACTCTAAAGTATCAAAGTTATACCAAGTTTATCGTTTTTACTTAATTTCGCCTAAGGTGGATTATTATAATCAATTTATACAAAATCCTATCCTAACCTAACCATACTAAAATCCGATGAAAAAAAAAACAAATTTAACCCTTAGTAAATTAACCTATCTTCTTCCCAGACGTCTAATCTACCCACAAACATTAATATATATATATATAACTATATAAATACACGGACTATAACTATACAGACTCTGGAACTACTTATCAGATCTTTTTGTATTTATTATATATATATATATGTATATTGATAAAAAATAATGATACAAATCAAGAACATGCCCGATTAACCAATAGCAACCAATATATTATACACATACACCGGTGGATTTTCCTAACATTTTTTTTTCATACAAACCTTATCCATGAAATACTCTTTCGCTTAAAAAAAAATCAAGAAGATCTAAAAGGAGCTCCAGAGATAAGTAGTACAGAGATTTTCATTTCACATTTTTATAGTTAGATATTAGATTACAATTTATATTTAAAAAGTAAAGCAAATAGTTTTTTTTTTTTATTTTTATTATTGTAATAGCTTAAAAACCCATGGCAACCATTTATAAACAAAAATGTCCATCGGAAATCTCAAAATTCCCGTTTGAGCACCTCCCGGGGTTGGTCCTCTCCCTTTTTAAATTAGCCTATCTTTTAAGTTTGACCAAATTACACGCGGTGTAAAAAATTTCATCAAAATCGGTTAAGTGGTTTAGGAGTCCATTGAGGTCCATAACTATTATTTAATGTTACATATTATATACATTTAAAATTGTATAATATAAAGCTTTTTAAAAGTATTTAAAATGTTTTAATTTATATGGTTTATTCCCGATTAATATTAAAAGAAAAATTTCTATCAAAAGCTTTAATATGTAATACAAGCTTTCAGGCTTCCTCATAATGTATATGACGTGTATTATAACTAAAGTTTCTACACACAATTCAACCATAATAATATTTCACTAATTTTAAACTTTTATTGCTGTATAATTTAAAGTTAAAAAAGGGTGTTCTCATTTGAAAAACAGTTGTTTATATCTTCAATCTCCTTGTGTAGTACAAAAAATCTCAAGAATTTGAAAACATGGTCTTAAAGTAGATTTAAGAACTCCAAAAATCAGATTTTAAATAAAAGCATTATTAAAGAACATATTATTTTCTTAGATTCAATTTTATATACAATAAATATAGCATTGAGTTCAAATTTAAAATTTAATACATTAATTAAAGTTTACAAGCAGAGGAGAACCCACATGCCCACCTTTTTTAATTTTAAATTATTGACTTACTTTTTAAAGGATGACCGATGGGAAGCTTTGGTAAAGTTTAGTTAATTTTCATCACTCTTTATATATTATTAAATTATTTTTTTACAGCATAATTTCTAAGATAAATTAAGGATGACAAAATATTTGTATTTATTAAGAAAGACATTTTATTTTCAATTAAAAATCAATAAACAGTAATTTTACTTTATATTTCCAACATTGATTATTGTATAAGTATTAAATAGGTATACAAAATGAACAGGTTGTTAAGAGGACGTGATACCCGCATGTGTTGTTCTCCGTCTTACAAGTGCTTAACATAGCACATGTGTAGCTCCGTTAGCTTAAACATTAGAGTGGATTGATCTCTTATAAAATCTAAAAGTAAGACTATTATCTAGACTTTATGAGATTTTTATCATATTTTTATTTTAAAATTGTAAATTGTTTGTACATTTTAAAGTACTCATAACTCACTTTAAAATTAAAATATAATAAAAAGCCCATGAGATTTGTCTAGATAATAATCTTACTTTTAGATTTTATAAGAGGTCAATTTACTCAAATTTTTAAATTAATTGAGCTACACGGAGCATACAATTTGCTATGTTATGCACTTGTAAGACAGAGGCAACACATGCGGGTATCACGTCCTCTTAAGTATTTTAACAATAATTAAAATTAACAAAATAAAAAAATATAAAATTTTAAATTTAAAGCGTGTTTTTTGATGTACGAAATATCTTGTTCTGTCATAGTAATAACTAATAAGTACATGATAATATAACATTTATGCCAACAATATAATTAACATTTACAATTCTATATCTATAAAATTCAACTAGTATATGCACCATAGTATAATTAACTGATAGTTGAAAATAACTGCCCCACTTCATCCATATTAGGATGGTACTTAACAATTAACATCATAATCATTAATTTTACAACATAACTATTTAAAATAGACTTATCCATAGTAAAAATAATAATATTACAAATTATTTTTACATAAATATAGAAGCATATAGAGTGATTCTTTTAATGCACAAAAATCATTATTCCTATAAAAGTTTTTTTTTTTTTTTTTTGTATAATTTAAAAATAAATTGTATTTTTGTCAATACATATTAATTTTTTATATTCCAATGTTATATTTTGGATATTTTGATTTCTTTATTTATATGTTTAAATTTTAGGTGAACAGAGTTGTGCAATACAATTTTGCAGGATATTCTTAACTCATCTGAACAAGAAAATTTTCAAAAAACAAAATGTTTGCTTAAAAATATTAAACTATTAATTAAAAATAAGTATTGCAAAATATATGTAAAAACTTAAAAAACGAAAAATAAATCAAGCTCATATGCAAAATTTTGGCAAATTGTCCAAAAAAATATGAGTCTTAAGCATTAAAAGAACACGCTACACTTAAATTGATTTTTGATCATTATCAACTCTGTACAAAGTAACATACAAAATGGAATAAAAATGTTCAATATTATAAGTTATAAAATTAACTAAACATAAATACAATAGTCCATACTAAAATAAAAATAAGATACGTAATTGCTCAATCATATTTCGACAGTCAGATCCACGTTACTACAACTAAAAGCATTTGCTTAGGCAAGTAAACATTCTTGTCTAAGTTGTTAAATTATAATATTTATAAAAGTACAGAGTAGGAATTTATTGATATGATAGTTGTTAACAAAAAAAAACAACAAAATTATAATATATACAAATTTAAAAGTAATACTTTATTAATGAAAATGCATTACTCATTGTATCATTTCTTCATCGTCATCTTCTTCATCACCATAATCAGCTTCACTTATTGTTGGCATGACAGTTCCTTTTAATGGGCAGTGTTTACACCTAATAAAAAATTAAAGTTTTAGCAATATATAACATTTTTGAAGAAAAATTCATGATGAATTACCTGCTCTGGTTTAATCCATAATTCAAACACAGTTCACCAACACATTCACAACATCCATCATGGAACCATCGGTAGCTTTTAGCACCCATTGATATACAAGCTGCCTTACATTTGTTCCAAGACAAACATTGACTCATGAATACAACAGAACAATTTAAAGTAATCTTCATAGAAGATTCATCTTGAGCGGAGTTTTCTAAATTTTAAATTTCATTAGCAATCGTTTTATATGTATGGATAGTCAAATGAAATTTACTTTGCAACAACTTAAATTCTTTCTGAAAATCTGGTGTCAGAATTTCAATGTCTAAATCAATTGGGTATGTTAGAGATTCCCATCGTTGTTGTAGATCTGGTTCCGAAACAAGTGCAGTAAACAAAGTCACTACAGAGTCTGACAGATCTTCAACGTGACTTTTTCTACTCAATTCATTAGTAGTAACATTTGGTTTTGGACACATATCTAAAATTATAGAACATTAATAATTACTTATTAGTGTTGTACTATATAAATATAGTCATATAACCTATCAGAGGTAGTGTTTATATTTTATATTTATTACTGCAATACTGCACATATTTTTATAATTAACATTTTTAACCCTAGAGCACACGCTTCACGGTCAAAACGACCGGGATTTTAGAATTTTGTTCATTGTTTCAAAAATATAAAATATTAACCTAATCCAACCTAAGTAACTTCTAATTAGGTGATAAACTAAAATTAGATACAACTCCCAAATGTATACGATCTGATGTCAGTAATATAGAAGTGTTCAAAGTTCATTACCAGGCATTACGTATTAATATACGGTCAAAAAGACCGTGTGCGTGATCGTAAAAAATCAAGTATGGGTTATTTTTAAACTGTATTTCTAACAATTGCTGCTCGATAAACAAAATTGATTGTTTATTATGTTTTCATTGTGATTGGTTAGTTGACTATGGTTTGAGCCATACTGTGTGTGACTAAAAAGACCGTGTGCGTGTATTCTCGTGAATATTGTAAATGCGTGTGATCTAGGGTTAATAATAATTTAAAATTAACTATTAAGTAATTATTTTTTTTGTCTTATAAAGAACAAGAAGAATTTGTTCCCATATAACCAACCTTATTGGTGGGCAGTCAATTAAAATGTCTAAGTAATATGATTGAAAAGGCCTATAACTTTCAGTGCCCTGAAACTTACATCCTCAACTCTTAAGATATGCCATGGTTGAAATTGTAGTTTAATGGTATAAGCAACACTTAATAGTTTTAATCGAACAAATTCAAGGAAAGTAATGCCATTAATAATGTAGAAATACTTTGATTATGGAATTTAATGGAAAAATAATAGAACCTACCTATGATTCAGTTTCCTACATTCATGCTACCTGATCATAAACCCAATCTGGTAAGAGCATCCTGCAATTTTAAACTATAATCATTAATTCACTGCTAATAATACAAACGTTGAAATGTAAAAACAAAAGCTATTTGGATGTAAAGTTATCGACAATAACCAGACACTACACTACCACCAGTGTCTTTAAACGGTAACGGACACAACCGAAGAAGACTCTTGTCGATATAATAATTGACTAGCGAGTCATCAACATTGAGGCATCGATAGTGTCGTTGTATACGGAGGGAATGAAAAATCATGACAAACGGTCAACAGGCGGTCCACAAACAGAACCAGATCAGCCGAACCGACATACTTAACTTAGCACTATGCACACGACTCACCCACGCACGAGCAGCATTCACTGTACAGATTGTTGAGGCAACTGAAACATTCTTTGCAGCACGAACAGTTGACCAGGTCGCACTTGCACGACTGTGTGATCATGCACTTGGAGACGATCGAAGCGCACACAGCCTCGTTGCACGCATAAGTCACGTATGCGAATGCAATCAGCGACCCGACGACGGTGACAAGAAATACGTTCTTCATCTCACGGCGGACGGCTCCTAGAAAATGATGTGTGTCATAGTCACATGTCACATCCGTATTAGACAATATTATATTATATTATTATTTTTGACCGTCACCGTGTGTTACCTTCGGGCGCAGCTTGAAAAATCACTGTGGTCTTACTGAATACGGATGGACAGTTTGGACACTGCTGGTCAGTGATCTACTGATCTGTAAATTGTAATAGCTGTCGTTGTCGTTGTTGTTGTTATTAGTTGTTATACTATTGTTTGTTCTTTGATACTATCGTAATACTTGTTGTTATTTAATATGAACGTTATCACTTAATCAGTCGGTATCGCTCCTTCCGCCAGTCAACGCTAACTATACAGTATAATAATTAATATGGCGACGACCTGTACATAGAACGGCGTAGGTAACCACCGTAATTAATTACTATAATTATTGTATTATGGAATACCAAAAATATTAATTAAAACATTTCGAACCAAAACTAATAAACGCGGGGCTTAGGCATAGATATTCAAAAATCGAAGTACGATTTAGCGCGTTGTTCCGTGATAAAATATTTAACGTTAGAGAATTAATCGTCACAGCCCCGTTTGCCACATTCATGTAATATTGGTACCTAGCAGTAAACAGTAATAACTAATAAGTATAACTAACAAAAAAAACATTCTAGATAGCCGTTTATTGGAATTTAGGCAAAAAAAAAAGGATCCCTCCCCACCATTATACAAGGACTGTTATAACTTATAACGTACCTATTGTGCTGTATAGTAGGTAGTAAGTTACTAGAATAGTCCATCTTTGTTCTCTAATGTCTGTACGTGTTCGGGTACATCACGTCAAGACTTAATATTGTTATAGAAATGTCCAAGAAGCGGACATGTAAAGTATGAGGTAGATACTTAATAATATTATTGTCCAATACATCCGTATAAATGTATAATTTATTAATATAGTATTCCGGGAACTACGGTTCCTATATCTATACTGACTATACTCATTTTAAAATGGGTCAATTGTAATTTTGGATCACCATTCACCACAGAACTTCAAAACCCTCGTCACTCATTAAATGTCATAAAAAATCGAATTTTTTTGACACTTTAAAACTGATAAGAAAATTATATTTGACTCCTTATTAATTCGAATTACCTAATATTTCCTTTATAAACAATAAACTATATTGGTTTAAATTATTATACCTATTTGTATTTACAAAAATATTCTGCTCTATAGCCTCTAGAAATTTATAAGTAGTCCACCATGAATATTAAATTACACAGAAATTATTATTTAAAATATTAGAAAAAATCATTCTAAACAGAATCTATATACTATTCTAATACAAAATAATATTATTCCCAAATCCCATTATACAATTTGGTTTCAAATATAGACATTCTTTCTAAACTCAAATATACACAGATTTGTCGCATTGTAATCCCATCACCCATGGAAAATTACAACTTATTTAAGAGGACGTCATACCCGGCCACCTCATATGTTGTCTCCGTCTAACACACGTACGATATAGCAAATTTTCGTTCACCAGCCGTTCTAAGTGTGCTGTTAGTTCTGGAGCGGACTGGGTCACTGTGCTACTGTGCAATTGCACAGTGGGCCGGTGTCATATTATTTTCCCCATTTATCTACAGTTATTCGTTTTTGAATTAAAACAAAATAAGGAAATCTCTACATGAGAAATCAAGTGAATATCCAATGTTGTAAAAATTTGAATTTCAAACGCTCATAAAAATGTAATTTGACTTTCTTATAGACATTTTTTTTTTTTTTTTGATAAAGGTAGATAATCTTATAATTAATCTTGTATTCAATTTTAAAATCTTAGATTTAAAAAGAACAATTTTTACGAATTCTTAATTCAAAATAATCTGCATGCTAATTTTCGTGATTTTTCCCATATTTTGTCAATTTTTGAACTTTAAATGCTTATAAAAAAAAACTGTGATTACGGATTTTTATTATTTTTCATCTGCTTTTGCAATATGCTATAAGCCTTCCATTAAATTTTCAAGATTTTTAACCAACAAATAAAATTGTATTGATATTTTTAGAAAAAAAACTAAAAAAAATGGAAAATGAAAATGTCCCTAAACGGTAATCGGAAAAAAAATCCCCCGGAAAAAAAATCCCAGGAAAAAAAATCCCCCGACGAACAAATATATTTTGAACGTTAATTAGTATCTATAATTAATATTTAATGACAAATACGTATATTATATTCTATTATATTCTATTATATTGTTAAAAAAATTATAAAAATATTTATAATGATCGATACGTCAATTAATAATACAGTTAAAAACATAGTATACAAAATATAGGTACCTATATATTTTATGTAGGTATAATTCTGTAAAAATTGAATTCCCGAAATAAAATATTGCGTTTTCTGTGACATTTTGACGATAAGCGGTTTAGTATGTACTTTGATAATATATTATATAAGGTAAAGTTAGTTATTTAATTTGAATTACACATAATATATTATCGTAATTTAAAACAAAATATTATTTATAATATATAATTTTTTTAACAATATAATATACGTATTTGTAATTAAATATTAATTATAGATACTAATTAACGTTTAAAAATATTTGTTCAACCATTTGCAAGAGGTTGTGAGTAATATTGTAGTCTGGGGATTTTTTTTCCTAGGGTCGGGGATTTTTTTTCCGGGGGATTTTTATTCCGGGATTCCCCTAAACAGTTCAAAATATTTTGAAAATGTTATCGTGTATAGAAAATGCAAATATAAGCAACCAGTGAAAATTTCATATAGATACGGTCATTTGTTTTAAAGTTACACCTAAAACCAAATTAAATTTTGTGAAAAATCGATTTTGCGTAAAAATTCCGTTTTTCCTTAATTTTTCTTTTCGCTTTTGAAAATTACTCGGAATTTTATATTTTGATCTCCCCAATCCACTTTCCAATCGAACAAGATACTGAAGTTGAAAATCGAAGCATTATTTTGACTACTTATCGTGTATACAGATACAAAAAAAAAAAGGTGGGTAAGTGGATGTCGCTCTGCTGTACAGTAGGTTACAAGTGGGTCACTGTATAATTGATGCTATTAAATTTGAATTCAATGATACAATATCATTGTATAAGAAAAACGATTCTGAGCGAAGACGGTATGTCAGTCTAGGTTAAGACAAATTATATACATATCTATGGTATTAAAAAAAATTGACCTATAATAAATTCCAAATTAATCATATCACAATATCCATTAGGTACTTATAACACGTTATACACCAACAACAAACCCTGATACTATCATATATATATAATAGTACACTTTAGAAGTTTCAAGTAGGTACCCACGAATAATATTATATAATCACAACAAAATAACTAGGTTTTTTAATATGTAATTTCGTCCAAATTTGAACATAAAATGACTATAAAAGTAAACTGTGATTGTATATTTTTTAGATTTTTCGGTAAGAGAATTAACTACTTACGTGGAATCTTGTTTTAAATTTTCAATCCTTAGCTATAAAAACTGAACATTTTATAATTTATTAATTACGATGATTAATAAATTTCGAGATTTTGAAAAATTCTATCAAAATTCGATGTTAAAATGCTTATAAAAAAAAATTGTGCCTATGTATTTTTAATATTTTTCAACTGATATTGTAACAATATATCAGGAGCCTTGTATTAAATTTTTACACTTTTTGCCCCAACAGATAAAACTTAATTGATATTTATAGAAAAAAAAAACTAAAAAAATTGAAAACTGAAAATGTCCGTAAACGGCTCAAAAAGTGTCAAAATATTTTCAAAATTGTAGGGTGTATAGGAAATGCTAATATAAACATTCAGTGAAATTTTCATGTATCTACAGTAATTCGTTTTTTAATTACAACAAAAAAAGGAAATTGCCACATGAGAAATCGAGTGAATATCCAATGTTGTAAAAATTTGAATTTCAAACGCTCATAAAAATTTAATTTGACTTTCCGGTAGAAATTTTTTTATTGATAAAGGTAGACAATCTTATGAGTAATCTTGTATTAGATTTTCAAATCTTAGATTTAAAAAGAAAAATTTTTACGAATTCTTAACTCAAAATAATTTGCTAATTTTCGTGATTTTTCCATATTTTGTCAATTTTTGAACTTTAAATGCTTATAAAAAAAAATTGTGACTAAGGATTTTTAATATTTTTCATCTGCCTTTGAAACAACATATTAGGAGCCTTCTATTAAATTTTCAAGCTTTCGCAACCAACAAATAAAATTTTATTGATATTTCTAGAAAAAAAACTAAAAAAAAACTAAAAATGAAAATGTCCCTAAACTGTTCAAAATAAATCAAAATATTTTGAAAATGTTATCGTGTATAGAAGATGCAAATATAAACAACCAGTGAAAATTGCATGTGCCTACGGTCATTTGTTTTAAAGTTACACCAAAAACCAAATTCAATTTTCTGAAAAATCGATTTTGCGTAAAAATTCCCGTTTTTCCTTAATTTTTCTTTTGTTTTTCCCGGCGCTCTTGAAAACTACTGGGAAATTTAAATTTTGACCTCCCCAATGCACCAACGATATTCACTTTCCAATCGAACAAGATACTGAAGTCGAAAATCGAAGCATTATTTCGACTACTTATCGTGTACACAGACACAAAAAAAATAAATAAAAAAATAAAAAAAATAAAAAAAAAAAACACACATCATTGTAAAATCAATACATTCATCGTTTCACTCAGAATCTAAAAAACACATCATTGTAAAATCCATACATTCATCGTTTCACTCAGAATCTAAAATGAAGTTCTTAAAGTAAAGGGTACCTACTTATAGTAATAGTATAGGACCGATTTTGTTTTCATAATAGTGGGCCGAATGGGCCCCGTTCCGCCCTTGGGTTAGTTTGAGATTAGTGTGAATTTGCCATAGAATAATATATTATCAAACTTTTAGGTAAAAACATTATCTGTGTTCTATTGATCGGTTTTTTACAA